GGATAATAATAGTACCCACCTTGTAGGTTGTGACTTTTAAGTAAATTAATATGTGCAGAGCACTTAGGAAGCGCCTGGCACATCATCAGTGATCAATAATATCACCTGTTCCTGGTAGTTAGTTGCCTAAGGTCAGGTCTATGTGACGCCCCACTCCGTGTTCTTAAGCACTGTGTTACACACGTGCCCCTCCTCTCTTACGCAGCTTCTTACATGCTCCCCTTTTATCCTGGGCCAGACTTTCTGGTTCACATGCCTGCCAGGCGACCTGTTCCTTTGTTGGTGGCCCACCTGGAGGTGCTCCGCAGGATCCAGGGCTGCATGCAGAGGTCATCTGGGCCATTTAAACTTTTGACACCCAGGTCAATGAAGACAAGAAGTGTCTTCTACTGGCCCAGGCAACAAATGGACCCCACGTCTCCACTCAGCTCCCTTTCCCTGTCCCGCATCCCAACCAAGGGCACAAGGGCTTAAGGCTGGTAGCCTCCTTTCTACAGAAACCCCAAAGCCCAGGCTCACACTGTAGCCCAGAAAGTGGTGGCAGGACCAGGTGGGCCCAGTGCTCTATGCATCCCCCCAGGTAGCCATGAGCTCTGTTTATACATCTTACCTCTTCCGTCCTTCTACAAACACACACACACACACACACACACTCACACACACACACCATGCCCCAACGCAGTGTCACATGGTGGAAAGAGAGTGGGCTTGGGGGTGGTCAGGAGATCTGAGCTGTCCTCTCAGCTGTGTGAAGTGGGCAAGTCCCATCCTCTCTGGGCCTCAGTCTCCTCAGCTCCGTGACGGAGATGACAGTGCAACACCCGTGACAGGGCTTACGGTGACAAAGGAAAGAGTTTGCCAACTCTTCTTTTGTGCTACTTTAAACTTTCCTTAAAATTTTTCTAATATTAGTATATGAATACATTTATTCACATATTTCATTTTTAAAATTTTAAATATTGATAAAGCAAATGTCATTTGACCATGTCCCTTACTGCCTTCCCAGTGGTAACTGCTGTGGTCAGTTGTCTCTCCTTCCAGACTTTTCTATCTGCATTTTATAGATATATGCTATGTAGGTTCCTATGACGTATAGTCTTGTGAGGTTTTTTGTTACATAAAGGAGCTCGTGTGATATGGATTTTTCTGCAAGTTGTTCTTTCCTCATAATAGCATTTATGTGAGATGTTTCTCCCTCGGCACTGCTGCCCACAATTTAACAATCCCCTGGTTGATAGAGTTCTGGGTTGTTCCTAGGGTTTCACTGTTAGAACCAACGCCACCCTGAACGGCCTTGGGTTCTCTGCTTTGCGCACTTACGCTGGCATCTGTAGGATGGACACGGGCCACGAGTTATTTTTTATGCTGAGTCAACACACTGTAACCCCAGCTGTTTGTATTCAGTGCCTGTTTGGTGGTGGCTCTGAGCCTCTCAGCCTCACCTCTGGGAGGACAGCAGACAGAAGCCTGGACACGGCAGGGACAGGCTGATTGAGTGGCCAGGAGACCCTGACCAGGTGCAGCCCCAGCTGATAGGGTGAACCAGGAGAGTCTGCCTTTGGCTCCTCTGCCTCTGTGCTTGCCCCCTCCCTCCTGGCAAGCCCACCCTAGCCCCATCTCTGTCAGAATAGGACAGCTGAGCTGGTTCCAGCACGCGACAAATTACCATCAGCAGGTCACGCAGCGCCTGAGACGCTTTCCCCTTATGTAAAATACTGACAATAATATCCACCTCCCAGGGTGAATTCGGTGAGTGAGATAAAAGACTAGTGTGTGAAAGGACCACTCAGATGTAAGTCAGTAGTGTTCTAGTCCTGCTCCTGCCTCTTGCTCCTGCCTGGCGCGCCCCTCCTACAGGGTCTTGTATTCGGCTGGTTAGCAACTCAAGTACCTGCTGTCCATTTCGGTGTTAGCGGTCAACCCATTTGTGAGCTCCCAACTAAGATCTTAGCTGCCAACTAAGATGTTAACTTAGTTGTTAATAACCAGGATATCCACTCTCAGTCAAGATTTTAGTCAACAGTGCACATCACCCAGGGAGATTATCAGCTTACTTTCCCCTGTAATGACTACATGCTCATAAGATAGTCTTTTGCTCTGTTAGTTCTCTGAAGGCAGGGTTCCAGGAACATAGTAGATACTCAATAAATATTGTTCGGAATAAATTAATGGAAAGCCTTCACAGGCATGAGGTTGCAGTGATGGGTGGTACTGGGCAGGGAGATTGAAATTTGGGGCAGGCTAGCACCACGGAGGTAAGCACCCCTGACCATAGACCAAGGGTGGGGACAGAAACCATTTAATTCCTCTTTACTCCAAGGGAAAAAGCCAGCTGACTGCTCTAGGCAGCCTCGTAGGTGGGTGCTCCTTGGAGAGGCCACCCCCAGACCCGGACAGGTCCAAGCCTTCTAGGTTGAGAGATGCGATTTCATTAGCTCACCCAGGGGTGACCAGGCTCTGGGAAGTCAACCAAGCAAGCTGCTGATTGGCAAGCCAGATCAGCAATTTATTAACTTCCGCTGCCCGCTGTGACTGCTAAGCAGCCTGCAGCATTGAAGCCAGCCCTTCTCCTCGCTCGTTTGCGCTACAGAAGGAAACTTTACCTGGGAGTCCAAATCGAATTGAGAAGAAGCAGAGTAGAAGGGAGTGATACGACACTAAAGAATAGTAATACTTGATGCCACATGCTCTGTCATACATTTCCCCCAAAACCATGCCACACTGTGGTCATTATCATTGTCCCATTTTGCAGATAGGACACTGAGGTCAAGTGGGTGATGGTTCTGAGAGATGGAACCAGCCCCCAAACCCAGGCGTTCCGGCTCCAGTGCTGTGTTCTCCGGCACCCTTCCCTCCGTGCCTCTGAGCTCAGAGGCTCACGTGCCCTGCACAGGGCCCCCTCAGCACTGGCTGTGGCTCTCCATTTTCCTTCTGTTAAGGCCACATAGCTTCCCCTAGTAACACTTCTGCCTCCTGACAAGCGGCGCGGGAGACCCAAGTCTCAGCCACAGCGTACACATGTTCTCAAGAGGGCACCTCTCCTTCTGCAGATACTAACAATAAAACTGCATTAATAGCTACCATTCATTAAGTGCTTGCCATGTGTTAGGCACCATGCCAGGCGCCTTGCACGAATTATCTCACTGTCACAACCACCTCAGGAGGCAAGCACACTCATCTCCCATCTGTTGGTGTGGACTCGCAGGCTCAGAGCAACTCAGTAACCTGGCCCAGAGTCCCAGCGCTACTGAGTAGCAGAGCTGAGACTGGAACATAGGTCAGTTTGACTTTCAAGCCCGTAGTTGTAATCACCCCCACCTCCCTACCCTCAAGGGTGACATGTGTTGACATCCCATGTGCTGGAGCTGTTCCTTATTGGAACCTCTGGCCCCTAGGCTCCAGCCTCTCTCCATCCATCCCTTTGCCAAATGGCTCCTGCCACACTGAATCCCTTGTTCTTCACACCACACCCCTCACCTCCAGGGCTTCCCTAGGTCTGCTTAGTCTAGCAAACTCTCTACTCATCCTTCAAGCCCCAGTTAAAGTGTCACCTTTCCTGAGCCACCTTCCTCCTGCCCAATCAGCCTTAATTATGGCATTTACCCGGTTTTATTGTCATCATCTGTAAGTATCCCCCACTAAGTGGTGAGCCCCCCAGAGCAGGCACAGCATGGTGTTCCTCATTGTCTCTGCAGCTCTGAGCAAGTCACTGGGGCTCGGATGGGAGCCTGTTTCCTGGCAGGAGACACATTAACCGTGGGTGCTGCCCGTAAGCCACAGGGCAGAATGGTTAAATGTGGGGGCTCTGAAGCCAGCCCACTTGGGTTCAGGTCTGGCTTTGCCATTTCCCAGCTGTGTAACTTTGGTTAAGTATTTAACATCTCTGGGCCTGGGTTTCCTCTAGGAATGATAGAATCCCTACTCAATAGGGATGTTATTAGGACAAAGTGGGCTAACGTCTGTGAAGCACATAACAAGTGCCTGCTCCCTGCTCACTGTTATCTAGAACAGACATTAACCCTCTAAGAGCAGGGCCCTGAGGCTATGGCAAGAAGACTATGCCTCAGTTTGAAGGTCCCCTCCTCCAGGAAGCCTTCCGGAACCCCTGCCACACTCAAGTAGGTCAGGTACCTTGTTAGCAGCCCCCCTTGGCACTTCATGGTTCTCTTTGGGTCCTCATCATACTTTTACTTCCCCACTAGACTCTAAGCTCTCCAAGGTCGGGGATCTTGTCTTCTAGTTCTTTTTTTTTATAATCAGAAGAAAATATATTTTAATGTAGACATAAACACAGAATAGGTATTTAAAAGTGCTCATGCATTTTTGGAGTTCTGTCTCACAGAACAGAACTAAATGGTGCTTGTTAGCGGTTACTCCCTTGCTCTGTCTGTTTGAAGTCATTTAGAACTTAGGGACAATGTTGAGAAAAGGGTTTGAGAGCAGGAGGGGAGAGAGGTGACCCTGAGTGACAAGGGTCATCATCTCCACCATGAAGTCCAGTTTAAGTAGGGTCACGGTCCCTGCGTCACTGTCCCCTCTGCTTGCCAGGTGAATTAAGTCAGTGTCTTCTGACAAATGTCATCCTGCAGTTAACATGTGGGTGGGTGCATTCCAGCATCTCCGCTTACTTGGCCCCTGGCTGTTGGTAGCCTGGTCTTTTCAGTCAGGACCTATATGACTCCTTTTCTCAAGTGCCTTTTTACTTCCTCAGTTCCCAGTAGATTTGGATGGAGAAGAGAAATGTTAGTTCGTTTTAATTATTTAGTTCTTTGCTGCATGAGTGCCTGGCACATAGTAGGTACTCAGTAAAGAGGTATTGAGTTAGGGATGGAAAGTGTTGGGAAAATTTCAGATTCCGGGCTGTCACAGGAGAGTCACCAAGCAGCCAGTCATCAGGTGATAACACAATTGGGGTGGGGCCTGGGTGGGGACATTCGGGCCCCATGGTCAGTGTCACAGTGACTGGACCTTCTGACTTCTCTCTCTCCTCCTTCCCTCAGTTCCTGGCATTTGACACCCAGTTGCTGTTGGGTAGCCGACGACACTCGCTGAGCCCTGAGGAGTATATTTTTGGAGCCCTCAACATTTACCTAGACATCATCTACATCTTCACCTTCTTCCTGCAGCTCTTTGGCACCAACCGGGAATGAGGAGCCCTTCCCGCCCACTCCTTCCTTCAGAGAATGCCCCCTTGCTGGTCCTCTGACTGCCCCCTGTGCTCCTGCCAGCCCAGATATAAAACTAGCTGCCAGCCCAGCCTGAGGCCAGCTCACTGCCTTGAGCCCAGCCCTCATCCCCACCCTCAGCAGCTTGCACCCATGCTGTCAAGGGCCCTGCGGAATCCAGGTCACACCTCCCCTGGGCCGCCCCTTCCCCCTAGTTACCTCTCCCACACTGGAACAGTCGAGGCTGGAGGCTTCTCCGAGTTTGAGGACCAAACGGATGAGTGGGAGGAGCCCAGCAGTATTTCAGATGTGAAAAGGAGGCCCCAGGAAGCCCGGTTGAAGTCTGCACTCCCACCATGATTCCTCCTGAGGTGGCCACAGCTGTGTGACCCTGGGGCACACTGTACTGTGTCCACCCCCACCCCCTCTCCCCTTCCAGGTTAGGCTTTGACACTGCAAGGGAGTGGTTAGGAGGAGAGCTGGGAGACAAGGTCTGGATGCTCTATGTGTGAGGGGGATGGGGAGTGGGGGCAACAGTATGGCTGTCCCAGGCTGCCCATCCTCTCCCAGGTCTGGGACCAGAGGCTCGTTCTAGGCACTTGAGCCCTGGGAGCCAAGGGCAACGAGAGAGGGCAGGAAGCCAGTACCATCTGTGCTTGCCTTGGCTGACCCTCCTGGGTCATGACAGAGTGCTGTGGGGGCAGAAGTGGGCAGGGGGCCCTGCTCCTAAATGGGGACCTGTCCTGGGACTCCAAGGGAGGTGGGAGCAGGCAGCCAACCAACTGGGAGGCCTGGGCTCTGCAGTACCGCCAATTCACCCAGACCTTCATCCTCCTGGGAGGCGGGGCAGGACTGAGACCTGCACCCTCTCACCCTCTTCTCTTCAACCCCTAGGCTGCTCCCAAAGGCCTGAGGCTAAGTGGAGTGTTCGGGCCCTAGACGACTAGGAGTTCTGGAGGAGGGGGTGTATTCTAGCTGTTGAGTTAGCCCCAGCCGGAGGGGATCCAGCCCTGCCCCCAGCCCTTCCCCAAGGCCTTTCGGCCCATCTTATTTCCCAGACCTCCCCCATCTGCTGCCAGTTGCTGGCTTATCCCCAGTCAGGCCTCAGTTGGCAGTGCCCAGTCCCTTCTCCTAGTTTCTCTGGCCACTCAGCCCCTCCACTCCTTATCTCCTCATCTCTCCAATTTGGAAGCCATCCAGCTGATGTTAACTGCCAGGGCAAGTCTCTCCTGCTGGTCCCATGTGATGGGGTCGGGTCTCCTTATCAGCTTCTAGGTAGCTGAGATCTCAGGCCCAGTGTGCGTCAGCCGTCCAGCCCCCTGCAGGTCTGCTGGGGAGCGGACCAGGGGGCCACACTTGGGGAAGCATGCAGCCAGCACTTGCTGACTCTGGGCCAGTGGAAAGTTACTGGGTAGATCAGAGAGGTTCCGAGCAGATATCTGGACCCTTCCTTGGCCTCTCCTTCCAGGGCTGCCTCTTTCTCCGTATGCCAGGGGCTCTTTCTGCCCCTGGGGAGGATAACTAGGTATGTTATCTGTGTGTTCCTGACCCTTCCCTCTCTGCCCTTTCTATTTCCAGCTTTTAAGAAATATTGCAGAAACAGTTGAAGTTATGTTCCATCTTGGGTATGAGGAGAGAGGGAGCCAAGAACGGGTGGTGGTGTTTGTGTTGAGATACAGGCAGCTGGGAGCACAGGTGGAATGCTTCCTGTGTGCTGGTCTAAGTTAATCCGTTACAGCAATCCTACAAAGAGAGTACTCTGTACATCCCTGTTGCGGAGAGAAAAGCTGAAGTGCTGGAGAGGCTGGGTCCCGGGTCATAAGGCTAACAGACTGGGTAGGCACTGGAATGAGACTGGGTGGTGAGGCTGTGACATCTCGGGGGATTTGTTATCCTCAGTGCCACCCCTGGCCTTCCATCTCCCTGCCCACTACCACCACCAAGTTTTGCACTCTGTAGTTTCCACCTTCTAGACACAAGCTGGGAAGCAGAATTCTCGTGTCTGATTTTTAGCCTCACTGCCAACAGGTTCATGGTATGAAGCAAGTGTTTCTTGCTGTCTGTGATTCAGTTTTCCTATCAGCAGGATAGAAGACCATGCCCAGGGTGGCGCAGGGAGAGACCCCAGAACACTTATTTGCACTGTCTTCCTTATCCAGTTGCCACCGCTCCTCCAAGGTCCCCTCGATTCCTCTCCTAATCTCTAGTTCCTGTTCAAAAAGGGTTATTTCCCCCACCCCTTGCCCTGTAATTCTCAGCCTGGGCCTTGGTCATGCTTCCCAGAAGCCACTTGTCCAAGTCCTCCTCTCCCTAGGACAGTTTGTGCAAAAACGGGATTGAGAAGCTTTTCTGAGGCTGATCTCCAAAAGCTTAGGGGAGGAGGCAAGCGCTCAGAAATAAACAATGTGTTGGGGCAACTCAGGGCCACCCCAAAGCAGAGTAGTGTGGAGCCTCCTATTCTGGGTCCTAAAAGGGGTCCAGGACATGCTGAGCTGGCAGCAGAGCCAGGATTGAAACCCCTGCATTCCACCTGCATTGAGGCCATGAGGAGCCCCAGGAACACCTGGATGGGTCTTGGAAGGAGGGAGAGCGGGGGAACAGGAATGCAGGATTACAGGAAACAGGGAAACTGAAGCTGGGCAGGAGGCACACGCTGCAGAGGAGGGGAGCCTGCTGGCCCCTCACGTTTTGGGCAGGGCTGGGGCTGGGACCAGGGAGGGGGAGGTTGGATTTTCATAAGGCTGGATGCAGCCAGGAATCTGACCATGGGTGTTGTGAGTCGGAGGTCTCTGACTGAGCGGAAGACCGATCAAGAGAGCCTCTCCTCGGAAGTGCAGAGTGGGGGCCTCCCATACTGATTCCCAGGCTCAGGTGTGGCTCCTGTGTCACCGGGGGAAGCCCCAGGAATGTTGATTCTTCCAGCCTCAGCTCTTTCTCCCCGGGGAGTCAGGACCAGACATCCTTATTCCAAAAGGCTCCACCTCTCCCTCCCTGGCTCACCCAGCTGGGATTTCACACCGACACTTTGCTGCCCCTCGGTGGCTGCCTGAGGAAAAGCAGGGCCTGGTTCTGCAGGGGAGAAGGAGATGGAGGTTGGGGCCTGAGGTTTGCAGGCAGGATCTGGCCACTGAACTTCATTCTGGGCTCTTCTCAGGCTGCCTCAGACCACTCTCCTCATCAGCCTCCTGCTGCTCCCTTTAGTCCAGCCATTTTCACATCTCTCGGACACTGTTTACCTGTCTGCTGGAAACTGCCCCTGTGCCACCCGGCCACAGAGCTTCCTCTCAAATGTCTAAGAGCAGAGACACACCCCAGACACCAAGCCCTTCTGGCCTCAGCTCTTCCAAGTTTCCCGGGGTCCATGCCTGTTCCCTTCCCTGGCCTCACCTTCCGGTCCATGACTGACAGGAGATAAGAATAAAAGTAATAATGACACCCGAACTGTTTCCTTTGCCTGCCTTTTGCTCGTTGCCTCAGATGGCTTGGGGAGTGTGTGTGTGAGGTTTAAGTCAGATTCAGTGTGAGAGGTGCACACCAGAGCTGCTGCTCCCAGCATAGCTGAGCAAAAATTAAATCTCCGCGTTCCTCTTTACGTGGAAAAGGGGCACTGGCCCTCCTTTCACTATAGACCCTTTGCAGAGTCCCTTTGGATCCTTGTACCTGTCACAGCCCTGACAGAGGCCCTTCCCGATGGGGGGGCTTCCATGGAGCCTGTTCCTTTGTGCTTAGTTGTGTTAGAAGATTCTTCCATATTTTGACCCAAAAGTTGTTTCCCTAGAAGGAAAGCTTATGTTGTACCTGGAAGGACCCCAAGAGCAGCAGCTTTAAGAGTCGCCTCTCCTGTGAAGCCT